TAAGAAACAAAGGCACTCAGGGTCTAATAACAAATATCACGGACATGCGATTGAAACAAATTAAATTTAAATAAAGTTTTAATTATTTAATCATCCGGTCATAACTGCGATTTTCTTTAAAACACAACAAAAACACAAACACCAACTGATGTTGCTTCACAATCTTCATTTGTTATGTTTGACTTGATTCCGCGCTTGATTTTGGATGTAAACAGGGATGTAAACGAAGTTCAATTGCAAAGTGGTTTTTTTGGTGGTGGATACAACATTCACTTTTTTAACGACGTAATACAATATCTTATATAAAAACTTTACAACCACCAGACTGACTGTCTTCACCAAAATGCTAACCAAAAAGTCCCGTTTCTGTTCCCAATTTTTTTCTCGAGAACTGGGTCAAGAATGACGACACCTGTTTGGATAGGATATTGGGTATACTTGCTCTGTTTTCGGTACATCCTCTCGCATTTAAAAATAAAGAAAAAATATATGAAAAGATTCTTTACAAATTCTTGGTATTTATAATATATTTTAAAGCATCTTTAAGAGACCGTTACAATTCTCACTACCTCCTACGTACCTAAACCTTTACATTTGTTCCTTAAATCTTACCCTTGAGAAATAATGACGATTCGTGATAAATCTGGAGGTGTATAATTTCTTTATTAAAATGGATATTTGAGAATTCGAAGCAATTTATATTAACAGCCGCAATGTTATTTTCATACGATTCAAATCTATTATTCTATGCATACAAATTGTGCCTGAGCAGAAGAAGGGAATGGTTTCGGAAAATTTCTCTAATTACATATTTAATTTATACAGCATGAAAACAGAAATGAACGGTTCTCAAAGTAAGCTAGAAATTATGACGGTTTTCTCAATTGTTTATGCATTCAATGGGAACAGAACAAAGTACATGCAGCTAAATATATACCAATAAACCAGCAGGTATATGTAATCTCCTTAGGTGCCTTTGAGTTGTAAAAACTTAATTACGGGAATCGAAAACCTTTCAGACCTCACCTGAAATTTGTACACCCCAAAGGCGCTTTCAGTTCATGATAGTGACATTTGGAAGTTTAAATTTAGTTTGGGATTACCCTATATAGTTAGGTTTCGCGCACTAACCCCAATTTGATTACTTCCGTCAAAGAAGTACGTCACGTAATCTACCTCCTTGAAAATTCAAAATTAAATTCACCGAAAAAAATTACTTAACTCCCGAATGCGCCGACCGAAGGATGTACTGTAAAAATTGTTGCTGTGAATTAATTATTTAAACACATTTCGGGTCTACGCTTTCGGGGATTATTTCTCCGGGGGAAAAGCAACAAGCTCTAGTTTTAAGGTTAGATTGCTTTATTCCAGTTAAATATTTAATGTTAATTAAAATAATTTCGACGGCGGCGTAACACTTGACATGATTTTATCGCGCCTGTAAGTGCTGCCGACCAATAAATTACTGTCGTTCCTTGAATGTTTAATTCGAATACTCGGAACAGGTCATTCTGTACACATAAAAATCAATGAAACAAAGTTGCTCGATTATAGTCTAACCTTGACCTTAATGTCTAACATAACGGAACGTAATAAGCAGCTTTGGTTTTTGTCTGGCCTGGAATTTAAAAACGGTATTGCGAAAATTGAGAATATTAGTTTAGGCGTCTTGTGAAAAATGCAAGTACTTCGACTCTACTAATCTCTATGGTTCGTGAATGCATGGCAATGAGTAAGGTTTCCGTTTGATGGTAATCCTTTTATTGGATTTCTGTAGTTAATATGCTAAACAAATTACGAACCATAAACTCCCACGTACGGTCTTCTGATTTATATGGTGATAATTTCATAAGGAGTAAGGAACAAAAAACATGTGCATGGTGGTCGGAGTTGTACCGAGTGACCCATTAAGACTGTTCCTGGGTCATATCTCGGGAACCGTTCGTCGTATGACTTAGGGGTAAAAAAATTATTGGATAAATCGGTTATAGTTTGTAAAATGAGTAAGTTTCGATTTCGGATTAGCGCTTAATTAACGCACACCATTAGTTTATATATCTTTGCCGTTCTAACACATAATAACTGTGGTAGAAGGTAAGTGGGTAGCCAGTTTTGTCACCGCGGGTGGTGAACTAAGACGGACGCTCTACGTTAAAAGAATTTTAAATAGAAATGCATGCACCAAAAAGAGATATCAATAGGTAAGTCATGCTTTGGCGCGGCTCGGGAAACGTCCATTTAAAAGCGCAATGCAGTGACGTATCTCGAGCCGCGCCAAAGCATGACTTACCTATTGATATCTTTTTTTGGTGCATGTATTTGCATTTAAAATTCCTTTAACGTAGAGCGTCCTTCTTAGTTCACCACCCGCGGTGACGAAACTGGCTACCCACTTGCCTTCTACCACAATTATTATGTGTTAGAACGGCAAAGGTATATAAACTGATGGCGTGCGTTAATAAAGCGCTAATCCGAAATCGAAACTTTACTCATTTTACAAACTTTATGAAGAATCCCTGGAAAATATTTTCAAGTTCTAAAAATGACCAACGGCCATCTTAAATTTTAAAATTGCATTTTCTTTAAATTTCGCATAATAAACTAAACATTTTTTCACATTTTTAAAGAGAACCAGTTTATCTATTATTTTCGTAAAAACAAAAACTCAGTTATTTCAAAAATAAAGATGGCGTGGGGCGTTCAATTGTTTTTGTAATAACCTGCTTTAACTTCTTAACCGTTTGACCGATTGTAACAAATTTGGTATCGTTGAAAAGAATATTCCTTGGACAATAAGAATCAAAATATAGTTAATTTAGTCGAATCCTTCTCCGCCAGGGGGCTAGTTTTGATTTTTTCTTTATGACAAAGTAGCCAAATAACAGCCAAAGAGGCCAGCGAAGACCGTTTTTACAAATCTCGTTCCTAACCTCAAATATTGGAAAAATGAAATTAATTAATTAAAATAAAAATGCTTAAATTGCATCTTAAATTTACTTTTTACGTATTTCCGGTATTCGTCGATGGCGCGAATGAAAAGCACCCTACAATTTTAGGTAGGCCTTGGAAAATTAAACAATTGAAACACGATGCATTATAAAATAACAACAGCCGTAATTTGTAAATTATTCTGCTGTGTTTACATTCAGAAAGTGCAGTTTTTCAATTTGTAATATTTTCTAAAATGCCGATTTCTAACCAAGAAGCATTTAATATGTAGTAATAAGTAGTCCTATTATTTTGTTATTCAGGCTAAGTAGCTTTGTCTAGACGATAACGTGCCATGGGATTCAGTTAGTTTGGGAGGGAAAGTTTTGAATTTAAATATTGAGTTGCGCAGTCTCTCTTAGGTCACAAGGTATTCGTTGCCTTTCTTAGGGATTAGGATTGAGGTGTTAGAATTCAGTAAACAAATTCAATCGGGGGGGGGGGGGGGGGGGGGGAATCAAACTGGGAGATTTCAATGGTACAGTCAAGTAGCTAAGATTTTTTTGTGTGACGTAATTTATAGTTTTGATATTTGAATATTTTTGTGTGCGCTATTATACCATCGTGGAGTTTGATTTGATATACCTGAGTAAAAATAAAGTATATATTTTGGTACTTGAATTGACTTGTACTCTTTTTGATCCCCTCGTATCTTTACAATTTTATACGGGGAGAGAGATAAGATCGAAATTGAGTGGCGCTCAACCTTGGTAAGTGTAATGAAGATTCTGAAGATCATTTGCCCCGAACGAACCGCCGCAGAAGATCCTCAAGCTCTTATTTATTCAATTTACATTGAGATATTTGGCTGTTTATTCAGTGGGTTTGAGAGAATGCAGCGCCAACTCAAGTACTCGTTATACAGCATTGGGTTATATTCAAAGATTGGAGGCATTCTTGATGTCGTATTGCCAGTGAGAAATTAAACTGCAAGCTGGTCTTATTTACGAACATTGCATTGCCTAATGAGCACCATGCCATGAACCAGGTCGCAGAACAAGTGGAACAAGGTTGACAAATTTATCAGTTTCGTCATTCGGGCCAGAACTTTTTTCATATTTAATTCATTTTTTCCAGATATTGGGGGGTGTGGCCTACGTAGTAGTTGAACAGTTGAAACCAGCAACAACTGTTACAAAGACAACACCACCCAATATCAGCGAAAACAGCATTAAATATCCTCAAGAAGATGCCAAAAATATCAAATATCCACTGATTTTTTATTTAAGTTTTCTGAACAGATTCTGCTCGTGGTAAATGCTATGTTTCTTTTTTTGGAACTTGTTCGAAACCAGAATGAAACTGAATGCTACCATTTTAAAACACATAGAAAGGTAAGTGTTTATTCAGTTGTACCTACCTAAAATTATAATCTTTTGGTTCCCTTCCTCAGAAATCCAATGTATGTTTCCAGTTTGGGATAATAATTAGCACATTTTGATTAGACAAAAGAAAGCGAGGCTTTGAGCCTTTTAACTGTATTTGATAATTTGAAATAACTAAGCTAGTCTGTGTTTTATTCTGCCCAATTATTAATATACAGCTCACGTTTTATTGTACAAACATCATGTTCTCGCTCGACCCTTTCGCAAATAACACCCGCTACGTCCACAAACAAAAAGGTGTTAGAAGGGAATTGTAAAGTAGAGAGCTTTTGCAGTAAGCTCTTGTTTCTATTTAAAGGAAAACCGAAATTACATCCTCAATAGTCGTTGGTCGTGCGAGTATCTCGGCGAGTATATAAGACTTCCAATACTTGTCCTATATCGATAGGTATTTACGTCACATCACAAATCTCTCTCAACGCCTTAAAAATGAGCTGAACATAAAAATAGGATTATGCAAATGATCGCAGAGTAAAGCTCTGACCTAATCTCATTTATTACGACAATCAAGCAATGCCGGTATGGAAGTTTATTTCGAAATGCGGCCATAAACAAATTACGCTCCTCCGGCTCGCTCAAACCGCATAATTAGCGCGCGATCGATAAATATAACGTAAATGAACTTACCATCCAAAAAAGTGTTTCGTTTGCGAAATTTGCATACGTGTCGATTGTAGAAAGAACACTAAATATGAGGCACACGAGGACTAGCATAAACCTGAAACAAAAAGAAAGATACAGTGCTATTATCCGCCAACAAAATAAGGATTTACAAGATATTTTATGGCAAATGGGGTTTTAATGTAACGGTATGGCTATTTAAGGGGGCGTAAAAATGTCGCTGCGCTCATACACAATACAACCTTCGACGTCTAAAAGGGGATGTAAAACGTAAACTTAAATTATACCCTTTATTTAAACCGCGTAAAATATTATGTTCGATCGCAATGCGGATAACAACACAGCTACATTGTTATTTTGTATTATACGTAATCAGTCACGAGGTGTATACCATCTTGTGCCGGGTACCATTGTAAACATGACGATCGGATAACACAAAGACGGTACGACAATAACTTGAGAATTCCAAAAGGAAATTAATAAATTTAATGATCTCCCACTATTGTAAACCAATTCAAGGATGGTCTCCATTTTATGAGCTATTTAGAAAACTGATATAAATGCTTGTTTCCAGATCCACTAATTTTTCAAAGAAGAAAATAGGCAGTATTGATTTCTTCTAACAAACGGATTTAATAGTATATATTTCAGTTCAAAATCGAATATTTTATAGTGATTTTATTTAATATTCTAAGTATTATGACATCGATAATCGTTAATCTTTTCAGATTCGTGATTTTCATGTTCGAAGACCCTTAGTACTAGCGGTATACCAAAAGATACTGCATTTTGTTATACCAAGGTGCCACTTGGTACAGCTGTTCTTTAGAGCCATTTAGACGATTTGGCCCGAAGAACACTTGACATTTTCCGTGTGGGTTGATTTTAGAGGGGGTGGGGGTGATTTATTGTAACATTTTTTTAAAAGCTAAATATGGCCTAGAGACGAGATCTGAGTGTCGATTTCGTATGATTTTAACCCGAGGAATTCAATGGTAGCGCCAGAAATGTAATCCGGACACAGGAAGTCCGTGAAAAGCCGCCATTTTTAGAAAATGACAGACTTTTGATCGAATTATAATAAAATAAGGTCTATTGTACCGGGTGACCCAATAAGACTGTTCCTCGGCCATATCTCGGGAACCGTTCATCGTATTACTTAGAGGAGTAAAAAAATTATTGGGTAAATCGGTTATAGTTTGTAAAATTAATTAATTAATTAATTAATTAACTGTCATCTTAAATATTAAAATTGCATTTTCTTTAAATTTCGCATAATAAACTAAACATTCTTTTTTCACATTTTTAAAGTGTACCACACCAGTTTATCATTTTTGTAAAACCAAAAACACAGTTATTTCAAAAACAAAGATGGTGTGGGGCGTTCAATTGTTTTTGCAATAACCTGCTTTAACTGCTTAACCCTTTGACCGATTGTAACAAATTTGGTATCGTTGAAAAGAACATTCCTTGGGCAATAAGAATCAACCAAAATATAGTTAATTTAGTTGAATCCTTCTCCGCCAGGGGCTAGTTTTGACATTATGACCCGAAATCCTAAACAAATAAAAAAATCAAATGGAATGATATGCCTTTTTCTTTATGAAAAAGTAGCCAAATAACATCCAAAGAGGCCAGTGAAAACCATTTTTCAAAATCTCATTCCTAACCTCAAATATTGGGAAAATGAGATTTTAGTTAATTAATTAATAGTAATGCTTGTAACTTAAATTTACTTTTGACGTATTTCCCGTGTTTGTTTGGGAAAGCACCCTACACTTTTAGGTAGGCCTTGGAAAATTAAACAAATGAAACACGATGCATTATAAAATAATAACAGCCGTAATTTGTGAATTATTCTGCTGTGTTTACATTCAGAGAGTGGGGTTTTTTTAATTTGTAATCTTTTCTAAAATGCCGGTTTCTAAGCAAGAAGCATTTAATATGCTGGCGGCGATGGTTCGTGGTCGATTCGGATAATGCAAATAGAAGATGCGGGCAGCGATGGTCGCATTTTGAAAACACTCAAAATATATCGCCAGCATATTAAATGCTTCTTGGTTAGAAATCGGCATTTTAGAAAAGATTACAAATTCAAAAAACTGCACTTTCTGAATGTAAACACAGCAGAATAATTTACGAATTACGGCTGTTATTATTTTATAATGCATCGAGTTTCATTTGTTTAGCTTTCCAAGGCCAACCTAAAAGTGTAGGGTGCTTTTCCAATTTAAGCATTTTTATTTATTAATTAATCTTATTTTTCCAATATTTGAGGTTAGGAACGAGATTTTGAAAAACGGTTTTCACTGGCCTCTTTGGATGTTATTTGGCTACTTTTTCATAAAGAAAAAGTTATATCATTCCATTTGATTTTTTTGATTTTTTTAGGATTTTTGGTCATAGTGTCAAATCTAGCCCCCTGGCGGAAGGATTTCAACTAAATTAACTATATTTTGGTTGATTCTTATTCGCCAAAGAATGTTCTTTTCAACAATACCAAATTTGTTACAATCGGTCAAACGGTTAAGAAGTTAAAGCAGGTTATTGCGAAAACAATTGAACGCCCCACACCATCTTTGTTTTTGAAATAACTGAGTTTTTGTTTTTATGAAAATGATAGATAAACTGGTTCTCTTTAAAAATGTGAAAAAAGAATGTTTAGTTTATTATGCGAAATTTAAGGAAAATACAATTATAACGGTTTCATTTGGGCGCAAAAAGAAATGCCGGTATTGCTCCGGTCTAGCTCTGATGCAGGAGCGAGGCGGTTCAGATTTCAGAGATATATTCGCGTGGTTCTGATTGACTAGGGTAGCGCCACTACGTTTGGAAATGCAAGAAGATACCTACAGGAAACGCAGAACCTGAAAGATAAAAGGACACACAACAACATACCTGTAAATCCAAAAAAAAAGAACTATTGGGGGTGAACTGGTCGTTTATTAAATTAGTTGCTGCTATGCATAGAATTTAAAGATCTGTATATCTATAATATCAAGGGATCGCTGTATCTTGAACGGTTAATAAAAATTTTAGATCAAAGTTCCAAACGTACAAATAATGAAAATAAAATAAACTCTTGCAGTAGCAAGTGCCGCTAGATCCTCACGCTTGGGGTCTAGAGCGTTTAAAATGAAAATCAAAAATAATTAGTGCGGGGGTAAAACAAAGGCCTTTCTTTCACGGGCTACTAAAAACGTACCTCACCTCGGGCATTCTACCTTTTTAAGAACCAAAAAGAAAACAACAGGCTACCTTGATAACTGCCTAACAATCATAAACGTACAAAAATAATAATTCGGTGCAGTAGGCACAACCAAAAAAAGTAGTTCTAATCGTCCGACCAACCAGAAGGGTTGTCGGTTTTAAAGTAATACATAACCAATAACAGCACAACGATGTTTTTATTTTACTTATCGTTTTTTTTTTCTTTACGTGACCAGTGTTCAGTGATAAATTGTTGAAATTAAAACACGAATTACAACAAAACAAAGGAACTGAAAGGAAGTAAGGAGAGGAAGGGAACAAAATGGCAAGGGTGTCTCTACGTGGATGCAGGATTCGATGGTTCGTTGCAAAGTAGTCGGGAAGGTTCAAGTAATAAACAGCTGACCTTTCGTTGTAGAATACCGTTCCACAATTGGGGTTGGTGACGCCACGCAGAGAACGACAGGGACGCACTTGTAGGGGATGATCGGTGATGGCTCTGCGATGAATGGGGCGCAGGGCTCCTCCTTATACGGGTTGATGTCGATGGTAAAGCTATGCGTTTCCCTCACAATGATGGACGAGACGAAAAATGTACAAATTGGTAGGTAGTAAAAATCGGCTAAAAATAATAGTTTACCAATAAGGGCTGGGAATAACAAAACAAGATGTACAAACCTCTAAAGATCGTAAACGAGCCAAAGTATCAAGCCGATGACCAATGTGCTTCCAAAATCCGCTTGGCGAAACTCCAAAAATATTACCACGAGAACCAAAAACGTCTCCAAAATTGGGTAACAATTAGAAAATATTTACTTCAATGTGTGAAGATCCTTATAATTAATTAAGATGAAATTTTTACACAAATGAAGATTGGCACACTGGACACGACCAAACGAAACAAACTGTTATACAATTTTAAAATTTTAGATGGCAGCTACGCTCTCTGGTAGCCATTTTCCAGCGATTCTTCATGACCGATTTACCCAATATTTTTTTTACCCCTAAGTCATACGACGAACGGTTCTCGACATATGGCCGAGGAACAGTCTTATTGGGTCACCCGGTACGGAAGTTACTTGTGATCATCCCGAGCATTAGTTTAAACCTTTTTGGGACTTATATTAATTTTTAAATTGTGAAACTAAGCGTGATTGGTCCGTAACTAAATCACCGATTTAAAACAATAATGGAAACGGTTTGGTAAGTAACGAAAATCCCTTCCAAATTATGGGTCATTTCATTTGACCGTTTCGTCCCATTTAGAAATATGTGGGCGGTCGTAACCGCTACCTTGCAAGGATTATTTTTGCCTAAAAATTGGCATCCCTCGGTATACAAAATCAACCTGATTTAGGCTTTTTGCCGAGTTTGGGGGGGGGGGGTAAATTTGCTATGGCACACCTTGTAGATGACTTTTCTTCTTGTCACAAAAGCAGATACAGAATTAGTTGGCCACTTTGACTGTAACGCTACGCTACTGGGCGCGTTTTGATACGGATAATTAAATAAGTATAATTACACGTTGATGTAATATTTAAGTTTCGGTTACAGGGCCAATCGGAAGACTTCATTGAAGCCAGAAAAGAACTCAAAAGAATGATCCGCATTGCTCATAAGAGGTACATTAATCAAATTGAAATGGATCTGCGGAAGAATTCCAATAAATTCTGGAACTACATCAAGTCGTTGAGGAAGAATAGTCAACTACCTGGAGTTTTTGAGTACAAAGACACCTCGTTAACGGACGCCAGAAGCATTGCGGACGCCTTTGCATCCTTCTTCGAGTCAGTCTACACTATGGAGAGGAACGATGACCCGGAAGATGACGTGGAATCGGACCTGGTGCTATCCAAATTGCACTTGACTCAGTTACATGAATCCGAGATACTGGAAGCAATTAAAAAATTGAAACAGAGGTCGGCTATAGGCGAAGATGGAATCCCACCCTACATCGTGAAAGCATGTGCATCTTTATTGCTAACCCCCTTACTACATCTATTTAATTTAGCTTTGCAAACATGTACATTCCCTGAAGCTTGGAAATGCACCAGAATAACACCAATTCACAAAAGTGGAAGCCGAAAATTAGTTGAGAATTATCGCCCAATTGCAATTATACCAGCAATAGCGAAAATTTTCGAAAGAGTGATCTATACTAGACTTTATTCCCATCTCAGCAGTATAA